AGGACTTCGGCGACGACCCTGACGCTGCTCTCTGCGGTCCGCCCGAGGGCGCTGCCGCCGAGGCCGAGGTTGGAGGAGGGCCCGAGAACGCCCCTGGCGCGGGCCGTCCCGCCTCAGGTCCGCCCAGGATGCGGCCAAACGTCCCGCGATGGACGCGAGGTTCGAGGCCACGTGACGAAAAATACAGACGAGTGGCGATATCAAGCGCTACCCTGAGTCCAGCCGCAGGCTCAGCTAGTTCTTCCTGAACGGCGTCATCCTCGAAAAGACGGCCATCATTCGAGGAGGACAAACCCAAACCCACAGACCCGCGTGCCACGCCCTGCTCCTGGAGGAGGCCGGCCAGGCCCATGAGGCCCTCACTACCACCCCTCTCGTCATGCAGCATGGCCGTCGCGAGCGGTGCCCCCGCGGCCCCCATCGGCGACCGCGCGCAGCTCGGGCCCAACTCGCTCTGAGGCTGCTGTCGCCCTGGGCACATCACCCGTCTGGACATATACTGCCGCATGCACCTGGGGCTCCTCTGCGTCCCCTCTGGTGCCTAACTATTACAGGATCCGAGCGCTTTACTACGAGATGGCGAAGCTCAACCAGCCTCTCGGTGCCTCGATGGACGACGTGGCGATTCTTATCCCTGCCAAGTGTTTCGACGACGCGAACAGCCTAGTGGCCCACCCCCTCGCGAATGCTGGGCAGATTGCAGGTCGTCGAGTTCGAGTGGTCATCGCAGCCCTACGAGAAATACACTCAGAATGGAGTTGGCCTGGAGAGGCGCGACACGTCCGTGCAGTTGGCAGATGCTTCGACGTAGCTGGAAGCTGAGAGAGGCTACCTGACCAAGGCGATGGACGACGGATTCGTGAGCGTGAGGGTCTCTGCCGAGGCCGTCTCTGCGAAGGGGGGCCACGAGGACGTCGCGCCATCGGCGTGACGATGAGCGTCGGGCCCTCGGCGCTCTGAGTAGCACCGAAAGGGTGGCAACCGAAGCCCAGGCTGAAGCCCCGGGCCTCTGCCTGGTTGCCTCCTGCCCTCTGCCTCTCCTGCCCCCCCACTGCCCTTGGCGGCGGTTCCCACGCTGCACCGCGGCCTCGCGCATCTGACCGGTCGGGCGGGCCGCCGGCCTGCGCGCCACCCCAGCCGAGGACAAGGGTGCGCGCGTGTCAGGCACGCTGCACGCTCTCCTGCTGCCCCCGCGGGGAGGCCATGGCTCCCCCGCGCGGGCGCCGCGCCAGAGGCACAGCCTCCTGACCTGGCCGTGGTTGCTGGGCCTCGCGGCCTCAGACCAGGACGTCCAGTGTCCAGCTCGGACGCGCCAAGGGTCACTCCAGCGAAAGGTCCCTGTCGCGTGTCGGGCGTGGCCCCCGCATCCCGCAGCCTCGGCCCCCGGCGCCCGCCCCCGTCCCGCCGTGGAAGCCAGGCGAAGGCCAGCGGCGCGCCGAGGGGGGGAGTGAGAGGGGGCAGGCCTTCTCAGAAGGCGGCGGGGCCTCTCGGGACCCCCCCGCCCTTCGAGGAGCCCCGTGCAGAAGGTTCCGACATCGCCACCCACCAGACCACCCCAACCCAACCCGAGGGCGCAAGTTTACCTTCGATTTCCCGTGGGGGAGGGGCCAGGGAGCATTGCAAAAGCACACGTGGAACCTGCAACCCCCCCAACCCGAAACGTGGGTCTTCGGGTCAGGGCGGGGTGGTCTGGCAGGTCGTAAAGGTAGTTTTTCTGCGAAGGCCAGACACCTCCTCAGCCTTCTGGGAAGGCCCGCCCCCTTCTGCCTCCCCCTTCTGGGCCTGAGGGCCGCCGCCCGATGCCTCGCGGGCAGCTGGCCTCGCAGCCGCGCCCACGCCCTCGGGCGTGACAGGCGCCCCCCGGGCCGGGGGCGAGGGCCGCACTCCAGCGGGCCTGCCGCTCGCACGGAGGCCCGCCGCGGCCGTGCGCGTTGGGGCACGGCACGCAGGCACGGGAAGCAGCGCATGACACAGACATGCACGCAGGGAGGAGGAGGAGGAGGAGGAGGAGGAGGAGGAGGAGGAGGAGGAGGAGGAGGAGGAGACGGAGCAGGAGGAGAGAGGAGGAGGAGGAGGAGAAGGAGGAGGAGGAGGAGGAGAGGAGGAGGAGGAGGAGGAGGAGGAGGAGGTGCGCGCAGATTTCACAGATCGGAGGCGCCGGGCGCGCGAGGGCCAGCGCGGGAGGCGCTGCCAAGGGGCTCCAGCGCCGACCTGAGGACTCCGCGCGGAGCTGCGAGCGTTTTTGTGTTTATGCCACGGCTCGCTCCTCCTCCTGCTCCTCCTCCTCCTCCTCCTCCTTCTCCTCCTGCTCCTCCTTCTCCTCCTCCCCCTGCTCGTCCTCCTTCTCCTTCCTCCTCCTCTCCGTCTCCCTCCTCCTCCCCTCCTCCCTCCTCCTTCCCCCCTCCTCCTCCTCCTCCTCCTCCTCCTCCTCCTCCTCCTCCTCCTCCTCCTCCTCCTCCTCCTCCTCCTCCTCCCCCTCCCCCTCCCGGTTGGAGGAGGAGGCTCGCGTGCTAGCAACATCCTCGCACGCAGCCCAGCGGTGCTTGCCAGCGCGAGCACGGAACAGGGCTGGTGAGTCGCTAGGCCTTGTTCGCAGGCTATGTTTCTCCTCCAACCCTTGGCTTCTCGACGAGAAATGAAGCCGTTCAGAAAAGGAGGGGAACCCTGGGATATACCCCAAGGGGGCCATTCGGGCGCACCAATATCGAGCATGGACGCCTCCCATCGCATATCCCAGGGTTGGGCCCCAAATTCCTGGTCCACTCGAAAACCTCCCAGAGCCTGGCATAGGGGTCGACGTCACTATCCCCCGCTGCTTGCTGTGACGGGTGGCGACCAGCAGCATTCGCACGCCTGGCCGAACTGCCGGCACTGCCTTGGCAAGGGCGCCCTCGAGGGCGCTAAGTTATTCGCGCTTCGCGCTTCGCGGTTCGGCTCCGATTCCTCCTCATCCTCCTCTTCTCCCCTTGGAGGCGGCGCGAGAGCGCGAAGTTATTCGCACTTCGCGCTTCGCGCGGCGCGAAGCGCGAAGCTGGGAGCCCTTGCTTGGGGTGGCCCTCGCGAGGGCCCCGGGCCCAGGCAGTTGGACTGGGCCACGGCCCGGCCCGATCCCGAGTGAGCCCGGCCGCCGACCTGGGCGGCTTCCTGCCACAGGATCGGGTCTTCCGCGGTGGGCGGGCCCCACGCAGCTCGGGCGGGGCGAAAGGGGGGGATTGGGAAAGGGGGGGTTACGAAATTTGCTGCATGCAGCTGGTTTCGGCCCCACCCTCGATGCATGGCCGCCTCCCGGCGCCGGGAGGCGCCGGGAAGATCAGCTACGTGAGCTGATTCTCAAACCCCCCCTTTGCTATCCCCCCCTTTCGCCCGACCCGAGTCTTCCGCGGTGGGCGGGCCCCACGCAGCGTGGTGACCACACCGCGTGGTGGGTCCGTGGGGACCGGGGTCAACGCACGGCTTTGGGACTCGAGTCGCTCTCTCCGAGGACGTCTCGGGCGGCTGGGGCCTCGAGGGTCCACAAAAAAGATCGTGCGGTGACGGACCGCGCGATGAGGTCGTTGGGGATCCCGAGGTCGCCACGCGGTCCGTCACCACATTGTTTCGGGGGGCCGAAGTAATGGGGTGGGATCGGAGAGGGGCCCTCACGAAGCCCCCCTGTGACCCCGTGGGTGCAGGGAAGGTGCACCTGCCTTCGCCCCTCACGGTTTGTGGCCAACCGTTCAGCAACGCCCGAGCGGAGATCCTTCCGCATCTCACCGACGCTACGGTCAGGAGCTTTTGCTTAGCGCTTCGGGCCGTCAGTCCTGGCCCACCACGCCTCGTCGCGAGGCTGATCGCGTCTGTGCCCCGAAGCATCAGCGTCCTGAGCCTCTCCCGGCCCAGCCTCCCGCCACGCGGAGCGGAGCGACACGCGAATTGCCAGCTCGCCTGGCCTGGCGTGTCGCTGGGTGCCACCGCCGCGACAAGCTGGGCAGAAGCTCGGTGTGGCCTCCGTCGTGCTGGGCGCGTGCACGCCGCCGCATGTCAGCATGCCTGGAAGACGCGCGTTCGCGCGCGCTGCGCGCACCCCACCTCCGGCCAGCCCTGACCAGCGTCAGATGCTCGTTCCCACCCATCTTCGCTCATCATCGTGCTTGTTCCTCCCTCCTTTCACCTTGTTTTCCTGCTGCTCATCAGTCGTATTCCCCCCTCATGCTTCTCTTCTCTCCTCGTCATCTTCGTCTTGCTCGTCCTCTTCCTCGTCTTCTTCTTCCTTGTCCCTCTTCGTCATGAATCCTTCATCTTCTCCCTGCCTCCCTCCTTCCTGCGCCCGTCTTTCCCGCCTCCTCGTCCTCCCTCTCCTCCTCCTCCGCCGTATTCGGTGTCGATCCTGGGCTCAAGCGCATGCATAAATCTACACTGCCTTTCACCATTACTACTTTTACCGCTCTGGCGTGCCCAGACCTCCGACGCCATGACTTGTTTGGTGACGTGGGCCCCCAGAACTTCCCATCCTTTCCCCCCGGACCCGTTTTTCATCACGTTCGGTTCCATGTCCGTGAACGAGCCTCCGCTGGCCATATGTTTCAGAGAATTTGACCGTCTCGGGCAGTCGTGGCGGAGGATGTTGGGGTTGGCTTTCGGCAGGTTCGCGCCGCGCTGACGCGGCAGCGACTCCCTGCACCGGCCTTCAAGGTTGACCGCAGCCAGCGGCCTGGAGTCTGCCAGCATCGAGCGACATGCGCTGACGTACACACGCGATCGTTCAAGGCCGAACGCTTCCCCACTGTGTCAGAAACCGGCCGCCGAGACGGCGCTCGCTTCAGCCAGGTACCCGCAGAGCGCGAGGATCCCGAGGTGGACCGGGAGGAGGAGGAGGAGGAAGGAGGAGGAGGAGGAAGAAGAAAGCGTCTGCGCCCGAGCGACCGGGGCATGTCAACCTTCCCGCTCGCGGCGACGCCGAGGCGCGGCGCTGGCGCTGTCACGACCTGAATCTGCCGTGCTAATCACCTGGGCCGACCGCGATGGTGTCTCGTCGGCTCCTCGGCCTGCTTGCTGCGCTGGCCGTTCCTGTGCGGGCCCTCACAGGATCCAAGCCCAAGTACCAGCACGAGCATAGGCACGAGCACGCGAGGAGGCCAGTCAACACCAGCGGCAGGCACCAACTCCTCATCTCGAGGAACAAACAATGACATAAACATTAACTTTGCGAGGTACGCGCGGAGTTCTTGGAGTGGCGCTGGGCACACCGGGAAGCGCTTCCAGCGCCGCCCCTGGCGCGCTGCGCCTTCAGGGAGGGGGGTCCAGCGCCCAGCCAATCAGCTCGGATTTGCGAAATCTTTTGTTTATGACAATGTTTGTTCCTCGATCCCACCCCTTGGTGTTTTATATATACATGTATGTATATATGTATGTATGTATTTCTTTCTTTTTTATTTATTCATTTATTTGTTTATTGATTTATGTATTGGTTTGTTTATATAGATGTATGTGTATATAAATATATACATAAATATGTATGTATATATATATATATAGATGTATGTGTATATATATATGTATACACGCGCAAACTTGCAATTTCCCGTTCGGACTTCGTGAGTCGGCGTTGTGCCCCCAAAAGCTCTTACGTCTGCGCGGGGTTCTTGAGTCATACCCCTGGCGGCGCCTTCGGCGCCGCCCCGGGCGCTTTCCGTGCGCTGCGCAAGGGGGTACCTGGAGGGGGGCCAGGCGCCGACAAGACGTCCGCGCGAAACTCTGAAGAATTGAACATGTGCCGCGTGCTGTTCTAGTCATTGCCATCATTCTTTCCGCCCCTCCTGAAAGCATCCATCGGCGCGCCGTTGCGCGCGTTCGGCTCAAGCTGTATGTTGAAGATCGGTTGATGGGGCGTGGCTGCGCTTGGGAATGAAGAGGTGCGCTCGTCATCTCCTGTGCGCCGCATCACATACGTTCTTCCCTTGCTCACCAGGTCATCATCGCTATGTCGTGCGATGATGTTCAGAAAGCGTCCGTTTACGATCCATTTCAAACATTTTCCCTTAGTTGGGAGAGGGGAGTAAAGAACACGCTCGATCGACAGGGAATGCTAATTTTCTGGTGAAAGACTGGCTATCAACCGAAAGTTCGATGAATAGAGATCCTGACGCACTGCGTCCTGGTGAAGCAGGAGCTGTACTACCAAGGGGGGTCGAAGCAATTGTGGTGACAATGAGAAGCACGACGGGTCTCTGATTGATTTGCCCAACAGGACCGTAATATAAGATACGGATCTTTTTCATGCGCTTGACATATTTACTCCCCGGAATAGAGGAAAAAAGCATACGACCTCGAAAAAACCTGCGATGACGGACGGGGAAGGAGGGGAGCTAGGCTCGGGCTCTCCTTTCTATCTCGATCTATGCCCGGGGGGCCAAGCAATCAACGCACCCGACAGAAAAAAGGTGGGATTGTGTCGTCAGGAGACTGAATGGTTACCCCACCCGGTGCGTATGTCGCGGCTTATAGGACGGACATCATTGCGATTTTGTTTTGCTGATTTCAAAAACGGAGTCTCCGAGCTCGTCAAGTTTGAACCAAACATGGGGCGGCTTGGTTGTATCTCGAAGGCGACAGGAGACGTGGACCCCGTCCTCGGCGCTGTGCACGATCCTGGGGCTACCCGGCCGTTGTCGCTCGTGGACGTGTCGACAACGCTCTTGGCTCCCGCGTCCCTGCGCAGGTGGACTTCCGCGCTGCGTTCCCAAGCGTGTCGCACGACTTCGGCACGGGTGCCTTCGAGGATTCGGCGCGCCAGAAGGGGCTTTGACAGTGCTGCGCGGCTTCTACGCTGACGACGCGTGCAGAATCTTTGCAGGAGCAAACCTTTGGAATGGTTTCGCAATGGGTTCTGGCATCCGCGAAGGGTGCCCGCTCTCGCCGCTGGTTTTTGCTGTTTGCATGGGCGTACTCCTGCGCGTGTTCCAGGGCCGCCTCGGGACAGATAGCATTATTCGTGCTTTCGCTGACGACGTGGGCATTGTCCTCGATGATGTCCCAACGCAGCTCCCCGCACTAGCTTCGGCGCTGGAGGAGTTCGGGAAGCTGTCTGGCTTGCAGGTCAATCTGGACAACACCATTGGAATCCCGCTTTGAGAAACGCCTCTGGACGAGGCTCGCGCCGAGGTTACAGCTGCTGCCCTTTGGTGGGCTCACCTCCCGCTTCGCCGCGAGACCACTACCTGGGCTGCCTCATCGGCCCTGGCAATGTCGGCAAGGAGCGGGACAGGGCAGGCGCAAAGTTCCAGGAGCGCGTAGCGGGATGGCCTGGGGGGTCCCTTGGCATGCACGTCGCAACTTTCGTTTACAATGTGTACGCGTTGCCCTTCTTGAGCTTCGCTGCGCAGGTGACCGACGTTGAACGGCGGCGGGCTTGAAGTTTTGGCGATGCGGCGGTCGGCGCCAGGTTCGGGTGGCTGGGCTCTCCCGGAAGATCTGCGGCACCTCGACGTGCATTGCGGCAGGCCGCAGTTCTTCGGACAGCTGAGCGCGTTGGCACAGGCCGCCAAGCTCCGCGCCGCGCCATGCAAGAGCCGGCGCATGGGCCCCGCTGGGTTGGATCGGCGGGCCAACGGCTTCAGGGCTACGCGGGGTTAGTCAGAATGCCTGCAGCGAGCGGCGGCTTGGGCGAGCTGGCTGGGAGCCTCTATCCCGCGGGTCTTGCTGCGCAGCGCCGCGAAGCTGCGAAGTCTTGTGCGGGGCGCTGAGCGCGTCGTTGCTTCTGCGACCTGGCATCCGCGCGACTCGCTGCCTGCAGAGGCGCAGAAGGACGCCGAGCGCAGCTTCCAGCGGGAGGCCCGGCGCCAGCTACGGCAGCTTCAGCGCGCGTCTGCGCGCGTGAGGGCGAGGTCAAAACTCTGACGTTGGGGGCTTCCCAGAGCGCCGCGACTGACGGCAGACCGATACTTGCAGAGGATCCAGACCCTGGGCAAACTGGTGCAGCCGAGGGTCGTCGTCGCAGTTCTCCTAACGGACTGAAACAGCTGGCGCGCCGCGCGACGGTGCCAGGAGCGAAATTGCCGTGGGAGATTCGCTTGTTTGGATGTGCGCGACCTCTCTGGGAGATTTGGCCGCGACTGGCTGCTGCCCCTCTGTCTCGGGGCGGGCGACGCCCAGAGCGTCCAGGACGCGCTGATGCGGGGGGCCCTCGGCGCGTGCTCCGTGTGCTGCGCTTTCAACGCAGGCAGCGCGTGCCGCGTGTTCCGCGTGCCCCGCGCGCCGCGCGTGACAAGTGGGCGGCTTTCCGGCCCACGAGGCGCTGCCCGCCATGGGGCAATCCTTGCGGGAAGCGGTTGCCGGCCACGAGCCGTCTGAGCGCACCTAGGCTTTGTGTCGCGGAGACCTGGTCCACGGCTGCGTCCCCACCTTCCGGAACTCGATCTGGGTGACTGCGCCGAGCGACGCTGACGTCTGAGCTGGGCCCGTCGGCCTCTTCTCTCCCCCTTTCCCATGTTCCTCCCGGGTCGAGGTGGGTCTCCGTGCGCGCGCGCGCTCTCGCGGCAATGGAGGCCCGCAGCACTTGTCCATGGCGTATAGTATTCGTCCATTTCTGATTCCATTATGGGCCGCTCTGGCCGCACTGAGCACGGAATTTTTGGCGGAGCCGCGGAGCCAACACGCGTTTGCAGCGAGCCCCCCGCAGGCCAGGTTGCCCCGTCTCCTCCTCCTCCTCCTCCTCCGCCTCCTCCGCCTCCTCCTCATCATCCTCCTTCTCCTCCTCCTCCTCCTCCTCCTCCTCCTCCTCCTTCTCCTTGTCTTGCGAAACATGGCTCCAGCACTGCATGATTTGTTTTGTTTATTCAGGGGCGCGGCTGGGGTTGACCCCCCGCTGCGCTGGCCCGCCCCGCGCGCAGGTCAGCAGCGGCAGGGGCGCCAGCGCCCGCCCTCCGCCGAGCTTCGACAGTGGAGCTCGCCGGTCGCCGGGCCCCGTCAGGCTTTGCATTCCCTGCTGGCCCTTGGCCGGCATGGTTGCGCGCTTCAGGGTGGTGGGCATGAGGTTGCTTTCGTGTCTCAATGTAGCTCGTTATCACGTTGTCGCTGCGTGCGTTTTGTTTCCGTGTGCTGTATTGTGCGCCAGCCGTTCTTGGCATTGGCTCCTGTGTTTCGGCATTGAGGCTTTCTGCAAGCTTGTAGTTGTTAGTCCGTCCTTCCTCGCATTGCTCCAGGGGCGCGTGAGCTGGTGTCTTCACAATTTTAGTCGTGGTGGTGGCTTCCCCTGGGCCTGGGGCCATTGTCGGCTTCCGTCGCAGACGAAAGTGTCTTGTATTATCGTCCCGCACTGCAGATTCATGGAGGTGCGACCGCTTTGGCGCTGGAGGGCAATCCGCATAAGCCGCCGCAGCCCGCTCCGTTCCTCCTTTGGCCATGCAAGCAGCACCTGTCGCTCGTTTTTTTGCTCGATTTGAAAAGTCGTTCGTGCAGACTGTTACGGCGCGTGCCTAGGGAATTCGGGCAGGGCATTATTCGGCCCGTGTGTTGTCTGAAATGGATAAGGCCTTGGCACGCCAGGTCGAGGAACAGGTGGTGCGAACGTTTTGCATCGCGATCCCTCCTCACATCGGTTCGTGATGCGCACGGCGAGCGCGCGAATTGATACCATGTTGATGTGACTGTTCTCGTGGTAAAAGTTGGGTTTGGGGGCTGAGGCGGCCACGCCTACCCTAGTTCAGAGCGTGAATTACCTACCCCGCTTTCGCTTCCAGGCAAAACCAAGTCATACCACGCGCCTCCTCGTCAAGCGGCCTGACCAGTACATGCCGTGGTTTGGCATCGCTTGGTATCTCTTGGAAGCGAGGGTGGTCAAAAGCGAGGTAGGTCTGTTTGCCCCCTACTAGTGAAGCCTATCAGGATCGGGGTTCGTAGAGGGGGGTTATCCTAAGATGGTGTTCAGGAGCGGCCCCAGCCAGATGTCCCTTTTTTGCCCGTACCCCACCTTTGTGCCCCCCGAAGGGAAGACGCCTGTAAGGCCCCGCTAGAAGCGAGGGCCGCTATGTGCTCGATAATTCCGAGACTATGTTGTTTGCATGGTTTTGGGGTTCTTGCTTTTTTTTCTGGCCAAGAATTGAGCCAACTGCATTCTGGCATCTTTCTCTCCCTAAGATCGCCTTGGCGTCGCGACGAAACCCACGACAATCGTTTGCTCGGGGGGCAGGTCCTGGGCCAGTCGGACAGCGTAGAGGCCTCTCGTTCGGCGGCAGGTTTGCGGGCCACGGGGGTCGTGGACTCCTGGGGCCTCCGTGGTGACGACATCTTGGTGTAGGCGGTCCTTGTACGTTTCCTCCTCGAGGTCTTCAGAGTCCGAAATCGGTGCGGTGACGTCGAAACCCCAAAAGACTTCCGCATGGTCGATCATCGCACGGTTTCGGGACGTCGGAATTTTTGCTCGCCCGAGCCATTTTCACCCCAGTCCCAAAACCGTGAGGTCACCCTGAGTCCCCACTGACTCACCACACGGTGTGGTAAAGGCTCGGCGCGTGGGGCCCTCCGGGTTTCGCCCGCCCGACCGTTCTTGGGGTCATGGGGCACGCTGCACCCATGACCTCCGAGTACGGGTCAAGCCGCGGCGGCGAGGGGGGTGCGACGAAGAGGTTTTAAAACATCAAACGGTGTCAAAATCCACATCCCGTGATCTCGCATCCTCTTGGCGCTGCGCGTCCCAGGCCAGTCGGCAGCTCCGCGTCGTCCTTCCTGCAGACGGATGCCGACGCGGACAGCGCGGCGATGGTCTCGATGACGACGCTCTCGAAGGAGGAGTGGCATGCGCAACACAAGGCATTGGGGACACACACACACACACACACACACGTTTCGAAAGCGGCGGTCAAATAATTCGCTAAGGGCACACGCGCATGCACGCACGCACACACGCACGCACACTTTTGAAGTGCACGCGGCCAGGGCGAAGCGCCTCAGGGGCGATCCAAGGTCATCGAACCGGATTCACGCATGTGCAAGGCAGGTTCGGCATTCCAGTGGCGTGGAAGCACGACCTGGGTCCAGATGCCCTTTCCACGACGCAGGCTCGAAAAATCTGTGGCTCAGGGCCCGCGCCGTGACCCCTCGGAGGTCTGAGCCCGGGCCCGTGTTCACAGAATCGGTATTTGTCCTCATTACACCTTAGGCGATGCTGAAGAAAACCTAAGTTTTCGTCCAGAATCTCGATTATTCTTAACTTTTCAATGTAAATCCCAAGATTTTGATAGAAGTTCTGGGTTTTATTCAATTTCTGAGACTATGAATTTCTTAACCCATGATTTCTTAAGCATTTCGCATGGTGTATGTCCGTTGGCCCAGTGTGTGCTCACCCTGTGCAGCTCTGCTGGCATCGGGAAGTGACCATCAATAACAGACGCACGCACTCCAGGACCTCCGCGGGGGTTTCACGGACCCGCGCAGGAACCCTCTGGCGGCGCCTATGGTGCCGCCGCCCTTGGCGCGATCCGCGCTCCAGGGAGGGGTCCAGCGCCGATCCGAGCCATTCGCGCGGACCTTCAAAAGAGTGCGTGTGTGTGTATGCCATTGTTTTTTTTTTTGTTTCCGGCACGACAGCACGCAGCCTGTGTTGGCCCTTGTCGATCACAACGCATGCTCGGTGTGGAAGGGCTTCGGTGGACAGGCACACTGGCGCTGACGCACGTTCTGAGGTGAATTTCCCCCCCTCCTTCTGCAAGGGCTCCCACGAGGGTGCGAAGTTATTCGCGCTTCGCGGTCCTCGTTCCTTCTCCCCCTCCTCCTCGTCCTCCTTTTCTCCCTTTGGGGGGGCGGCGCGAGAGCGCGAAGTTATTCGCGCTTCGCGCAGCGCGAAGCGCGAAGTTGGGAGCCCTAGCTTCTGCCTCCTCGTTCCTCGTCGCACCCCGCCCCATTTCCCTCCTGGTTGTGCGACCAATGGTTAGCCATCGACGAGCTGCACCCCGTTTTCTGCTCGTCTGACCCTCTCTGACCACTCAGCTGCGCCCAGTTCCCCTCTCTCGCCTACCAGCCTGTTTCTTGCTCTCAGCTCCCTCTTCCTCCTCTTCCCCCTCCTCCTCTCTCCCTTGCAGAATGAGTAAAGAGGCAAGGGTAATGGGTACGGGTGCGTGCCCATACATCTGACGTCACGACTGGTTCGCGTCATGGGCCCCCAGTCCTCTCAATCACATCCTGGGAGCTGTGTATCTCACGCACGTGCTTTATCAGAGTGATGGGGGCCGAACAGTCATCCACTGTCCCTGGGTGCGTGACTGAAAGGGGAATCCGTGTTGAGTATTATGCGTGTTGCGTTGTTGTTGTTGCTGCTGCTGTTGTTGTTGTTGCTGCTAGTATGGCTGTTGGTGTTGATGATGTTGTTGTTGGTGTTGTTGGTGTTGTTGTTGTTGTTGTTGTTGTTGTGGTTGTTGTTGTTGTTGATATTGGCGTTGTTCGCGTTATTGTTGTTGATGATGTTGGTGTTGGTGTTGTTGGTGTTGGTGTTGGTGTTGTTGTTGATGGTGTTATTGTTGTTGCTGCTGTTGTTGTGATTGTTGTTGGTGGTGTTGTTGGTGGTGGTGATGGTGGTGCTGCTGATGTTGTATGGTTGTTGGTTGTGTTGTCAATGTCGTTGTTGGTGTTGTTGGTGTTGTTGTTGTTGTTGATGTTGATGTTGTTGCTGTTGCTGTTGCTGTTGCTGTTGTGAGTGGTGTTGGTGTTGTCGTTGTTGAACTCTCATTCCTGAAGAATAATTATGGTTGATCCCCCACTGGTGCATATTGTTTTTTCGTATTCAAAGTGTGCCCCTCGACGCTCGCACCCTGTTTTTTTAACAAGGGAAGTCTTGATGCTCAAACTGGGCCTATGGCCCCCGAGTTACAACAACAACGGCTCCCGCCTGAGACTTCCTCACAATTTAGCCAGGACCCCCGCTCCCGCCCGAGACTTCCTCGCAATTTACTCAGGATTCGCGCTCTCGCTTGGGACGTCCTTGCAATGTATTCGAGAATCGCTCTCCCAGCGTTCTGGAGTCGCGCTCTCGCTGGAGACTTGCTTGCAATGTACTGAAGAATAGCGCCCTTGCGTTGGAATTCCTTGCAATTTGCTCAAGCGGCGCGCTCCCGACACCCAGGCACCCAGGAGTCGCGCCCGTTGTGGCCCCATGTGCATGCCCTTCGTGGCCCCGCTGTCGCCGTTTGTGGCCCCCTCACTGTCCTACGTGGCCCAGTTGCTACCCTCAGTGGCCCCATCGTTGCCTTCTGTGGCCCCGCATTATCTGCCCTTCGTGGCCCCCGCTCGTTCGCGCTCTTCGTGGCCCCATACGCATTCCCTTCGTGTCCCCGCTGTCGCCCTTCGTGGCCTACTTCGTGTCCTTCGTGGCCCTGCTGTCGTTCTCTCTCGCTCTCGCTTTCGCTCGTCGTCGCCGTCGTCGTCGTCGTCGTCGTCGCTCCCCTGTCCGTCCCTCTTGGGGTCGGGTCGACGGTCCGCGGCCGCCCCGCCGATCAGCGCTGCCGCTGGCCAGGCCGACGGTCCGCGGCAGCCCCGCGGCTTGCCAGGGCCCAGCCTGCAGGGAAGAAAGGTATATCCCCCAAAAGGGGTTCGATCGAAGACGAAGAGGGCGGGTATCGAGGGTTTGGTAAATACGCGTTATTGGACATTCGAGCAGATAAGGGCGAACAGGCTTAAACTGATTGGTGTTGTTGTTGCTGTTGCTGTTGTTGCTGTTGGTGGCGGTGGTGTTGTTGTTGGTGTTGTTGTTGCTGCTGTTGCTGCTGCGTACTTTGTAAAAGGCGCTTGCGGCAGGCTTCTTCAGAGCCTCGCAGACTGACGACGTCCTCGCCGCCCCCTCACTCTTATCCGCAACTGCGGGGTGCTACGTATTATATCGAAGGCGCCTACGGCGAATCACCGCCGCCCCCTGCCTTTTGTAAGCGCCGATGTGGCCGAACGTGGTGGCCAGAGCTTGGACAACCCATCGGACTAAGAGTCCCCCCTGCCGTAGTGGAAACCCTTCGGGGAACACGTGGGGGAGGGAAGAGGGGGAGGAGGGGAGGTATCTTCGGGCGTTCCTGAGGCCTCTTGGGAGCCTCTTTGGTTATTCCTGTGGCCTCTGGAGGCCTCTTCGGGGCTTCCTTGGGCCTCCTGGGGTCCTTTCGGGGCTTCTCTGGGACCTCTTTGGTCGCAGACTTCTGCAATTCGAACTTTGACCTCGAGCAGCCCCGCAGTTGAGCTCGCTCATCTTTGCGCTTCAGTGGCGATTCGCAGGGCCCGTCTCGCGGCATAAGTTTGTTCTCCGCGAAGAGGCAAAACGAGCATGTATTGCCCCGATGCTCAGAGCAGGCTTCCATAGGCCAAGTAATTTTCAAACGCTGGTCGTCTCCATTCTGCCTTAGACGAAAACAAATGTGTTTGCCCCCCCGAATCAGTGCAGCCAGTCGGAGTTTGACGGTTCATGGGCCCCACACGGTGAAGGCCGGCAACAATGAGAGGAAAGGTGCATCGATGAAGTTCTTTTGGGCGCGGTGTGGTAGGTTAGACACCCCTGTCGCCCCGGTCGGTCTTCCCCAGCAGCGTCCTTCCGATCCAGCGGTCAGATAGCCAAGTCGGAAAAACAGGCCGTCTCGGTTCTGCTCTGGACGAATCAGGGTATAACGTCTTCCCGAGGCAATGTACGAGACGGAGTTCACGATCGAGTTCCGCGGTCCACCTGCCCCACCGAGGAGCAGGGGCCTAACCGAACTGTGTGCTAAGCGTGCCCTCCTAATAGTGTGAGATTATGCTTGTCCGTGTACCTTGGAGGGCATGTTTGGCTGCCTGCCTAGCCCCTGCCCCCGGCGTGCGGATAAGCGCCGCCAGCAGTTCGGCGTCGGCACATACGCAGTGATGTGCGCCATCGGAGTGTCCAAGGTTGCAGAGGCCGCGCTGCGCCAACGCCGACGCAGTTCTCGGTCCGAAGGCGCCGTGCGTGGTGGGGCAGTTGGACCGCGGATCGAGCTGGACATGACCGCCGCCCACGACGGCACGCCCATCGGGGTGGAGTTGTGGAGCCCGAAGAACAACCAGCCGCTCGCCGTGAAGAGCGTGGCCGAGGTGCCCTCTTTGGACGACCTCGGCGTCGCCGCCGCCGCCGCCGCCGAGGATCGAGGCTCTAGGTTCGTGGTTTCTTGGGCGTTCGCCCTTCTTGGGCCTCTTGGGGCCCCGCCTTTTGCCACGGCCAGATCTGTGTCGAAAGTCTTGTCAGAATGCGTCCAAGGACAGGTCTGGTTGCCGCCCGTCGCCCTTGTCGTCAGGGTACGGGGTGCTGAGCGAAGCGGGTCCTGCGCCCCAGCGAAGCGGTTCCTGCGCCCCAGCTCTTTCCTCCCCAGGACCAGCTCTCGATGCCCAGTCGCAATCTGACGGCCCCATGGGTCCGCGGAGGGCCCCGCAGGGGCCTCGAAGGCGGCGAGGGACCTCCAGGACTTCCTTTCCTCCAGGTCCCATGCCTCGGCATCGTCATGCCTGCCCATCCCCGGTGGGCCAGGGCTCCTGAGCGCCGCCGGCCTGTCTCCTCGAGGTGGGGAGGCATGCCGCGAAGCTCGACGGAGACGGCACCTGTCCCCCCCTACCTGGGGCTGTACGTGGGACCTCGGGGCCAAGGCTGTCCCAGCTGGGATGGGGACAGGTCGGACGGGCCGGGGGCAGGGGTAAATCGTTCCAGAGCGTTTCAGAACGCTCTGAGAAGGCCGCGGCGCCCGATGCATCCTTCAGAACCGCTGGATCTTGGAGAACCCCGATGGATCCTGGTCTGATCCTGTCCTTGTCTGTGGCCTCGCCTTGATAGGCCTAACGAGGCTTGGTTTCCTTGACGCCGGCCTCTCCCGCCGTCCGAGGTGGGCCTCGTGCAGAGCTGGAACGCTGCTCACCCCGACAGGGCCGTCCGGGCCGGCGATGAAGTCATCGTGCCGTGGTCCGCCGGGCGCCCTTCAGGGCCAGGGGAGAGCCCAGGAACAGCCAGACTGATCGAGGAGGAGGAGGAGGAGGATCGAGGTCCTCGAGGTGCGAAGATGTTGTCAGAGAGGGATCGAGGTTCCAGAAGGATCGCGGAGTTCGAGGATCACTCCCCTCCTCGTCATCCTCCTCCTCCTCCTCCTCCTCCTCCTCCTCCTCCTCCTCCTTCTCCACTTCCTTCCTCCTCTTCATCCCTCTCGCGGCTCCCTGCGGGGCTTCGAAGTGGACAGCAGTCGCCATTTTCGTAGGGTCTTGGGAGACACGGCGGAAATTGGGAGTATGCAGACCCAGCCGAGACCTCCTTGCTCCCTGGGGGGTTGCGAGGTGTGCTGTATCGTCACTTCTCGTGCGCTCCTTTGGGGGCACGGCGGAGTGGGGGAGTACGCAGACCCAGCCGAGACCTCACGGCTCCCTCGGGGGCTGCGAAGTGCGCATTGTTCTTGGGGTGCACGGCGGAGTCGGGAGAGTACGCAGACCCAGCCGAGACTTACCAGCTCCTTGTTGGGCTGCGAAGTGTGCCTTGTCACTTTCTTGGGCTCCTGAGAGGCACGGCGGAGTGTGGGAGTACGCAGACCCAGCCGAGATCTCGCGGCTCCCTGGAGGGCTGCGAAGTGCGCACTGTCGAAATTTTCGTAGGTTCCTGGGAGGCACGGCGGAGCGGGGGAGTACGCAGACCCAGCCAAGACTTCGCGGCTCCATGGGGTATGCGAAGTGCTCAGTGTCGCTATTGTCGTGCCCTCCTTGGGGGCCTGGCGGAGTGGGGGAGTATGCAGACCCAGCCGAGACCTCGCGGCGCCTTGGGGCGGTTGCGAATTGCGCATTGTCGCCATTTTCGTGGGCTCCTAGGATGCACGGCAGAGTTCGGCGAGTACGCAGACTTCGCCCAGACCTCGCGGCTCCTTGTGGGGCTTCGAAGTGCGCATTGTCAACACGGGAAGCTCGGCGGAGAGGGGAAGCACGCAGATCCAGCCAAGACTTCGCGGCTCCATGGGGAGCTGCCAAGTGTCCCTTGTCGCCACCCTCGTTGGCTCCTGGGAGGCCATGCGGAGTTGGGGAGTACGCAGACCCAGCCGAGACTTCGCTTTGTGTGGCGAAGTGTTGAAGGAACTTCATACGTCCATGTATACCTTTGAAATTGAGAGGTCCTGATTATATAACGGACACCTATGTGTAGAAAGGGTTGGGTACGTTGACGTGTACGTTTGCTCGCGTTTGGGCGGCTCTTCATCGCCAAGTTGGGTGTCCTTAGACATCTGGGCCATAACGCGCCTCAGGACAGGTCCAGGGGTAGATGGCTGAGCCCTGGCCCTGGCCCTTCGCATTGTGAAGCAGTGACGGCCGAAGGTCGAGGGTCAAATTTCGATGATCGAGAGGCGAGTGTCGCCCTTTTTGTACCTGTGGGCGGCTCCTCGACGCCACGGTCGGATTCCCTCCGAAATTCTGGCCAGAATGTGCCCTGGGACAGTCTGCGAGTCGGTTCATGTTCGACCCCATATCCAGACACCCCTTAGTTGCGCATAAACGAGACACTGGGGGAAGGGGTCGAGGGGATCCACGTTCTGAGCACTTGGCGACGGCGGGGATCTAGGGATGTCTATTATGTCGTCTTAGGGGCTCCGCCCGACCGGGCAATCGGTTGTTTCTCCTGTTTCTCGTTTTTCTTGCCCTCCTTTGTTTTCCCTCCTCCTCCTCTTGCCACTAGTTGTCACCCGCCCCGCTTAGCCGAACCCCCGAAGCACCATATTGAACGACGCCGATAGAGAATTAGTTCGGCAGATAACTCAGCACGTAATTTAACTGTATTTGGGCCTTTGATGTGTCTGTTTGATTGTTCCTGGCTCCCCTGTTGTCCTGTGGGGTGGCCAACTGACAACGGATCGTCAAGATCAACGACGTGAAATGGCAGAATCACAACCGGATGTTCATTCAGCACCTCCAGAAGGTGTTCGGGTTCTTGAAGGAGCAGAGGCCGGGGATGCAGAAGGTCCTGGAACTCGGGTTCCAGCGTCCAAAGCGCTGGAGAACGCCGCTCGATAGCGCAAAGTCGGAGTCCCTCCGCTGATCTGCAGCCCCAGGGTCTTCACGGGCAGCTAGATTTGCAGGTCGTCGTGCCAGCCTCCTCTCTCTCACCACCTCCTTCTCCTCTTCCTCCTCCTCCTCCCTCCTCCTCCTCCTCAATAATCGTCCTCCCAGTCCTCTTCCATCTCCTCCTGGTTCTCCGCCCAGTCTTCCTTCCCCTCCTGATCTGTCCCCAGAAGTGGGATGCACCCATGGAACGACTCCAGTGCGGCCTCCTGAGAGGCCGCTGTGCTCAACCCAAGAAGAGAAGGGAGAGGGATGAGAAGTCTTGTTGCTAAAGGCTGACCCCGGGATCCCCCGTGCCTTCCTCATCCCCCGCCCCTATCATCTAATTGTTCTCGTCATCTTTGGTTCCAGGATTTCACTCCCACTCCGATGTCGCACAGTAATGTTGGATGTCTTAAAACGGTGCGGTGAGAGCACGGTGTGGTGAGTTTGGCGCGCGCTGGATGGTTCAGTCGTTTGCGCAGCTTGGGCCCCAGTGGTCGCATGTAGCGCGGGGCTCAGGCACTTTTCGGTTGGCCCCGCACGCGCGTTTCGTCTGGGCCATAGCGCACTGCTTAACGCGCGAGATTGTCGCCCGACCTGCGCGCATGGTGTTGTCTGTTTCGTTTTTTGGTGCAGTAGTGCGGCAACATCTTGGATGAGACCGATGCGAGTATGCTGGCGTGCTTTGTGCGAGCACTCTGGCGCTCATCCTGGGGCGCCCTCCGCTGGGCGGTTGGATGCAACGCAGGTTCGCGGAGCAAATCAAAATCTCATCTTCTTTATCTCCCTCGTCCCCCCTCTCCTCTATCCCTCTCTATTCTTTTCTTCTCACGTCCCTCCCGTCCTTCCTCTCCTACTCTTTTCTCCTCCACCTCGTCCGGTTTCCTTCACTTCGGCGTCTTCCCCCTCCTTAGAGCAGAGCGACCAGCAAAGAATGGCAACGGCGGTGGCCAGAAGGGCAACTCGACGAGGCGCATGCCTCACGAGGGCGAATGCCCCCCGTCGTTGCGCGCCCAGTCGGTCGCTCAGGTGCCCCCTTTGGCCCTGCCACCTCCTTGCAGGTGGCTCTAGGCCGCCGTAAGAGTTTGCTCCGCGCACCCCTGGGCTCGCCAGCACGGAATCCCGAAAAAAGTTGAAACGGGTCACCGCCCGGTTTTGGGGCTCGGGTGTTTTTTTGAGCATGTCTCCTGTCCCGGCCCCCGTCCTGGTCAGTGCCCGCTTCGCCCGTCACGGTCGCTATCCGCTGCCGCGCTCCGCGTCGTCGACCCCCCTTGGTCGGAGTCGGGTCAGCACGGCGTGGCCCCCGGACAGGAAATACCTGATGAAAAGCAGACGGCATTCTGATATGCTCCAACATTTTGGATACGCCGTGTTGCAGGTGTGGCGTTCGCCGCGCAGGGGTTGGCATTTGTCGGATGGCGTTGGCGCGAGGCCAGGACGAGGGAGGCGCTAAACGCAAGATCGCAGCACGAGGCGCATCATTTCGCCATTCGGGCCTTCGCACCCCCCGTGACGGGCGCCGCGCAGGCCGGGACGCAACAGGTTCGTGGCCAGCTTTTCATTGCAATGTCCGCTGCGTCCGTCCACGGAAAAATCGGCAGCTCAGTGCCGCTAGCGTTTTGGAGCAGTGATGTTTTTTCTCGCGCAGGTGCCGCGGTGGGCTTTCAGGGTGTAGCCGCCGCTACAGCAGAGGGCGAGGCATTGCAGCACCAGTGGTAGCATATCGGCTCGGGACTTCCTGACTTGCTGTGGATCACCTTGTCGTTCGTGGGCGCAGGATGGGATTCGCGCTAACCCCGCCGCGGACCGTTCTGGAGGGGCCTTGAGTGGAAACCTTGCATGGCCATCGCCGCACCGTTTCGGAACCCTCAATAGTTTCTCAGTGTGGGCCAGTGGGGTATATTCGTGGTTGCGGTATACAGTGCACTTCTTTGCGCGGTGTGAATCTCAGTCTACCCCTACATGTGTCTGTACCCCCCCTGTTCGAGGTGACGTGCATATTTCGGATTATCACATGCTTCTCAACCTCTCCATCTTCATCAATCCTTATCTCTCTCCGTCCGCCCCTCTTCCTCTCCCGCGCTCTTCCTCCTCCTCCTTATCCTCCTCCTCATCCTCGTCCTGGTCCCCCGCCTCTTCCTGCATCCTCCGACCATCTCCGTCCTCTTCATCCGCCTTCGTCTACCGACACCTCTTTTCTCCCCTCCATCCTCTTCCTTACCCTGTAATCGTCCCCCCCTCGTCCTGCTCCTCCTCCTCCGCCTCCTCCTCCTCCTCCTCCTCCTTCCTCTCATCTGCCTCCGCTCCCCCCTGCGCTGGGCGGGCGGGGTGGGGGGGGAGGCGGGATCCCAGAGGGCGCTTGGCGCGGCTGTGGAGCCCTTTGTCGCCAAGGCGGGGGCCCCCCACCCCCGCCACCCCACCCCTCGCGGGATGCATGAGAGTCTGTTCCCCTCCCTCCCCTCAGGCTTCGAGCTTCGGGTGCTGCCACAGGGTCGGAACGACTCAGGCCTGAAGCAAATCAGTTTGAACGGCCCGCCTGGGCAGGCCCAACCACGAGGCGAAAACTGAGTGTGGCCCGCAGGAACCCTCGCCCCCCCCCCCCCCTTCCGGGCCACTGCCGCGCGCCCTGCCGCCTGGGGGGAGCATTCCGCGGTCCGCGGCTCTGTGCGAGAGGGCCGCGCGGTGCGCGCGGCCCGCGGCCGCGCCCTGCACTCCCCGCCCCTCGGCGGCGCGCACAAGGGGGGGGCTGGCGCGTGGGTGGGGGGCGGGGCCTCTGGGAATTCGAGGGGCCCCGAAACGGTGTGGTGACCATACTGCGTGGTGAGCCAGTCGGAATTCGAGGTCACCGCTCAGTTTGGAAGCTCGGGTCGTCCTCCGAGGATGTCTCGGGCGACTGGGGCCACCGAGGTCGCCAGCCCAAGCAGTGCCAGACCGCGCGGTTGGTTGGGCATTCCGAGGTCACCATGCGGTCTGTCACCACTGGTGTGGGGGCCCGACAAGAAGGCGAGGAGCTTCTTAAAAAGGGCCGGGTGGCTTCTGTCAAGTCCCCTTAGAAGCCGAGGGTTTCTGAGGAGACCCCAGAAGCCCCCTCTCCTTCTCCGAAGGCCCCCCCCCCCCTTTGCGCCACCCCTTTGTGCGTGCCGACGGATCTGTGCACGGAGCCTAGCGCGGCACCTCCCAGTACATGGCGTGTTGGGTTGCCCGACGTTGCCGTCGGTTTGGGGGGGAGTCCTGACTTCGGGATGCTTTCCGGCAGCTGCGCCTCGTCGAGAGCGACAAGCCTGGATATGCCCCAGTTATTGGCCGCAAGTCCGACCTCGAACATGTCGAAAAAACATTATGGAGGCTATTCGCCGATTTCGGCTCCTGGGGGCTCAGGGACGGGCTCCAGGGTCGTCAAGAGACGGCTCGGGTCATGTGCGCAGGGTCAGGCGGTTCTGCACTCCTTGGTGTGTGTGTGAGGAGGAGGAGGAGGCGGAGGCAGGGGGATGGCGGCAGGGTCGATTTAGAAGAGCAGGAGGAGCATGCGGCAGGCTCGCGCCGAGTCGCCGCGGCGGCCACGCTTGTGCGTGTTTTCGAGGTCGAACGCTGGCATTGGCCCAGTATTGGGCGATGCCGAGCGATCTGCGCTGAGGGAAAGTTGCGATCGTGCGAGGCTGAACGACCCACGCTGCGCCCGAAACCAGCGTGGAGGTAGTCGCGGCGTGAGCTTGCTGCAACGCAGGCGGGAGCAGAAGGAGACCGAACCAGACC